TCTTGCAGCTCATTTCCAACCTTCTGATTCTGTGGTTCTATGATTCGTTATATCCTTCTAAATGTTACAAGATGATAAAGCTTAATATTTTGTCTTTGTACTGTTGTGCATACGCTTGGCCGTGTTTAGCCATAATACAGACAGAAAGGGCTCCTTCCATAATTGTGTTGCATTGTATAGATGATTGCATGTCTGATGAAGCATGGATGGATCTGGGACATCTGGAGTTGGGACTGATGTGTGTCGTGTCATTTTAAGACAGAATATGTCTATTTTCCCTTTTATCTCTCATGCTTCCCTCTTATTTCTGTTCCTAATAAGTGTCACTTTTACTCTGCTACTTTTTATGGGCTGCATTTGCTTCTGTGGGCTTTTCTGGCCACTGCATATGTTTTTGTTAAATACTTTTTACTTGCATAACAAATTACCATTGGCTTTCCTTTATTAATGGACCGGATAGCATAATGGGCCACAGTATATGAGAATTCACCTTATTTGCTGAATCCTTGATCCTTAACTTCTTTGTCAGCCTTTTGATGCAGTTATTCTGTTACCGTCTCCTTTTGAGAGCTGGATTTTACCAGGTGACTGTAAAAGCATTTTTCACCCAGAGGTCACCCTGATATCCATGTGGTTTTACTTCTAATATTTCAAGAACTGAAACGAGGTATTTACTTCCATAAGAACACATTGTACTGAAGATACTTTTCCTGCAGAGCCTTTTAATCACAATTTCTCATGATACTACTTTCTAGAAGAAGGCAGGCAGAAAGCTGTATATATACTGATAAATAGGGTTTTTTTTCAGTGTGCACATTCATGATTAACAGCATGGAAGTCTTTGGAGACTAAGGGTGCTGTACTGTTTCTGAAGTGGGGTAGATTTGCAAAGCTCTGACAGAAAATGTTACACTCCAGATGTCCTAAACTCTACATAACTGTATTTTTTAATAGCTGGAACTTAGATTGCATGTAGTGTGAGTCTTCAGATAACATTTTACTATATTTAATCAGAAAATGGTTGGCTCACGTACTTTGGGTTGTCTCTTTCTCCAGATACTCTTCTGCCCATAGTTCAATCAATTTCACAGCTGGCTTTAGAGTCCTTTCATGCTTGGTTGCAGAAAAAGTGGGCACTTTCACTCCTTCAGGGACAGAGCAATACCAGGAGAGCTGTCTTGTTTGAGCTGTGCTTGGTGGTTTTTGGTTCTTGCAGCATGCATCCTTTGAAGCAGCATGGTGGTCAGCATGAAAAAGTAGCACAACTAAACGCTTTGAGCAAGCACTCAATAGAACCACTGTGAAAAATCTCAAGGAGAAATGGCAGACAGGGATGCATATTGTGTTGTGAAGGCGGTTGCCCATCACTGTGAAGTGTTGAATTAATGCTGCCATCATGTTCATCCTCTGCTTGTAGAGGGAAGGGAGAGCTTATGTGAATCAGTGAAAATCTTTAGGAGTAACACATGGACTTGTTCAGAAGACTGTGCAGGTTTGAGCAGTTCGTATCCCTGCTACATCCTGGTTGACTGTGCCATGAATTGAGTCACGAAACTTTATTGGAAGAACGATTTGTCAGAAGGGTTTATTGTGGTCAGTTAGAATTGTTTAGTGGAAGGGCTGACAGTGGGAGTTAGTGCGGAGGCTTCGGTGAAAGAGGAGACTGGAACTTGATGCAGCTAATTGAGTCAGAAGCTTGGAAGGCAAATGCTATGCTGAGCTCCATCAGAAGAGGGGTGGCCAGCAGGGACAGGGAGGTGATTGTCCCCCTCTACTCTGCTCTTGCGAGGCCCCATCTGGAGTACTGTGTCCAGGTCTGGAGCCCCCAGTACAAAAAAGACAGGGAGCTGTTGGAGAGGGTCCAGAGGAGGGCCACGAAGATGATCAGGGGACTGGAGCACCTCCCCTATGAGGACAGGCTGAGGGAGCTGGGCTTGTTCAGCCTGGAGAAAAGAAGGCTGCGGGGTGACCTCATTGCAGCCTTTCAGTACCTAAAGGGAGCCTACAAACAGGAGGGGAATCAACTCTTTGAAAGGGTAGATAACTGCAGGACAAGGGGAAATGGTTTTAAGCTGAGGGAGGGAAGATTTAGGTTGGACGTCAGGGGGAAATTCTTTACAGAGAGAGTGGTGAGGTACTGGAACAGGCTGCCCAGAGAGGTTGTGGATGCCCCGTGCCTGGAGGTGTTCAAGACCAGGCTGGATGGGGCCCTGGGCAGTCTGGTCTAGTATTAAATGTGGAGGTTGGTGGCCCTGCACGTGGCAGGGGAGTTGGAGATTCATGATCCTTGAGGTCCCTTCCAACCCTGGCTGTTCAGTGATTCTGAGTCAATGCACGTATGACTGTGCCTTTGAATTTCATACCCAGGTTTTATGGGACCGGGTTGAAGCAGGAATAGGGAAATAGTTCTATTTACTAAGAGATTAAAACTAGTTATGAGTAACTCAGGAGCTCCCATTCTGCTAGTTGACAAAGTGATGGTGAGTGGTTTTGGTTCTTGTTTTTGTTTTGTTTTTGGAAGGGAGCTGCAAACATGTACCAACACTTTCAAAACTGAAACTAGAGGAAATTGCTGTGGCTTAATTTAATTTCTGCATAGGATTGTGAAAAGAGAGGGAAAAGTACAACTGATGTTGCAAGCAAATTAGTATATTCATCTTTGCTTTTGTACTTTCTTGTATTTCTAAACACGTCCAAATTGTTTTGCACAGTTCTTGTATTAAAGCATCGATGTGCTTTAAATGATCAACGTTGCAGTTGCATGAACAGCTGGTTGGTTGGTTTTTTGTGGTTTTATATCCTGGAAGTTGTGTCGTGTGGGGTGAATTGTGTTTGTGTTTTTGTCTTTTAATTTAAAATGTTGACCACAATCTGAGAAGTGTTCTTAGGGAAGCTGGACCTGTAAAAGGTTCATTCTGACTGTTTCTCTGGTAGCTTTTGTTCAGCAGCTTGTGTGGAGCAATTCCATCTAAAGCTATGAAGATGAACAGTTGTGCAGGTGACGGCTTGTTTAGTTGTCTGTGTCATTTCTGAAGCAGATAAATGAAAATGAAAACCTCTCTTCTTGTTTTGTACTTGTGTACTTGTGTTGTCTTTTCTTTGGTAATGAAGTGCCACTTAATTTTTTGGTTGATACTTTTTATATCATTTCTGATGATTTATGGATTATATGTCATCACAATCTGGTAAATAAGAAGAGTATTTTCGACTGTCCAGTCCATGCCACCTCTATTTATATTAGAAGTTTAACCGTTGATTATTATATATTTTTATTATTATTGTTATTATTTTTAGCTTTAAAACTAAAGTTTGTTTGTTTGATTCCCTTAGAAGTAATGAAGTCAAGCAACAGAGTTCTTCAGAGAAAGCTGAAATACTCAGCACAGCTATAGACAGTTGTGTTCTGAGCTGGTAAATGTTATGTAAGGGAATAAGCTTTTTGGAGACCAAAGGTTAAGTCTGTGAGTACTTTGAAAGTTGTGGCTGACGTGTTATATGATCTTCACATAGCAATACTTGTGCTCATTAAAATGTGGATCATTTAATAAAGTGTATCAGAGGCCAGCTTACAGCTATGTAGATTCCTCTCAGTTCAGGTATGCAGTTTTACAGTGCCACAGTAACATGCTGTATTGCAGTATAGCTTTTGTGGATTATCTATGCGAAGGAAACCTTTGCATAGACAGTAAAATAATTAACATTCTTAGACATATTAAAGATTCTGTATTTGCAGCTGAAATGAAGACCCATGTATTCAGTCTGATTATATTTTCCTATGAGATTGTGATCTAGCAATTGTTGAATATTACAAGTAATTGAAAAAGTACCCAGAAGTCCAGGGAGCATTCATTCTCTGCATCAGTCAGCAGCAAGAAAGAAGAATGGTAGAAGAGAAAGCCCAAAGCATCTGGCTGGCATCCAGTCCCAATCATTTCTGTAATTGTGGATCAAAAGAACAGGTGATAACCGTTACTGGCACTTCTAGCATCGGAGTGCCCTGACATCTCAGTTGTCCATTTTCTATGCTGAGTAGGATTTCGGTAAGCTTAAAAGGGCACATCTGTATGGGTGTAGTTCTGCAGCTTTGTGTCACTATGGAGCAAAGGCAGAGTGAGCCAAAATTATTTTCAAAAATTAGTGTTTACTTAAATCCCATATAGCATGGCAGGACTAGTCTTAAAAATAACCCCTTTTTAAAAGGCAGACTTACACCTTTATTCCTCGCTTTTTGTTGTGTGTTTCTTTGTTCTTGTTTGGGTTCATTCTCTCCAATTTGTACGTTGTAAGCAGTGAGAAGCTACAAGTGGTGCAGTTAGGAGTTGTTGATGGATAAAAGCAGATTCTTGTTAGCGCTAACAGATTTAACAGTTACTTCGCGTGTGGGAATTTGAGAAACTAAGAATATGTGGCATTCCTTTTCTCCCTTTCCAAATGAAGCACTGTGGTGGTTTGTTGTACAAACTGTATAAGGAAATCTAGGGCATGAATGCTCTTAGGAGCTCTGACTTTCTGCAGCAGACAAAAGACTGGGAAGCAGGGAAGTATCCTGCTATGTGCCATCCAATGCAGTGGTGAGCACCTGTTTTGACCAAGGTAATACATAACTTGGCAAGGAATATTTATGACCTTAGTAATAAATGTTTTGTTATATATTATCTAAACTGTGTGACTGTTTATACGAAGGATGGCAACATCTAAAGAGTAATAATTTTTGACAGGCAAGAGAATAATACATAATCTGAACTGCATCAGTGAGCCCCTTTACTGATTTTTCAGTTTGCTTGCTTGAGTCAGGAGTCTAGCTATATGGATAAAGTCACTAGATAAGAGTTTTGAACTGTAAATGCTATTCAGCATGTTCCTGTCTATAAACTGCATAATATACAATGTCTGTATTGTATATAATAAACCTGAAATGATCATATTTTAAATAAAATAATTCTATGCATCTAACCTATGTGTATACCTGAAAGTGTTAATGGTTTTATGTTTTCTTGTAGCTAACAGAAGATGAAATTGCAACTATTCTGAAATCTACTCTTAAAGGACTTGAATATTTGCACTTTATGAGAAAAATACATAGAGATATAAAGGCTGGAAACATTCTTCTTAACACTGAAGGACATGCAAAATTAGCTGATTTTGGTGTGGCTGGCCAGTTAACAGTAAGTACCTGTGGAAAGGTGATTTAAAAATGCTTACTACTCCTAACTGTGTTTTACACAGTCTCTTCTGCCTTGAATTTTGAATCCAAGGAGGAACTAATGGTGCTAACAGTTTTTATCATGATGAATATGTAGTTTCTAGTAGTTTATTATTACAACCCACTGCACTTCAAGTGCTTGCTGATCTCACTTTAAACTTTTTTTTCAAGGTTTATGATCAAGATTGAGGTGACAACCCTGGCTTCTAAAGCCTGGTGGCCTGAATCTGTTTAGTCTTAATTGGAGTCATTACAGTTTGACCTTTGGGTGGCTAATTTAATTTCTAAATATAGAATAAATATCAAAGGAATCTGTGAAAATAAACATCTCTATTTTAATTGTATAAATGATATAATTACAGGATACAATGGCAAAACGTAATACTGTTATAGGAACTCCATTTTGGATGGCTCCAGAAGTAATACAAGAGATTGGCTATAACTGTGTGGCAGACATCTGGTCCCTTGGTATCACTTCAATAGAAATGGCTGAAGGAAAGCCTCCCTACGCTGATATTCATCCAATGAGGGTAAGCGTGTGTGGGGGCAATTTATTGTTGTTGTATCAGGAAAAAAAGAAAAAGAAAAAAATAATGATACGGGAATCATAAAACTCTGCATTCGTGGTCAAAGTTTAGAACTGAAGATTTTCATTTGCTGTATCAGCTCCTGTTTGCTGCAGTTTGAATTTTAATGTGTATTTGTAAGTTTTTAGAGTGAGAGATCGAAAGCAGTAATTGCTTAATTGACTTAAGGCAATGTACAGAGCCTGTTTCAGACTGCAGCTGTACTTGCAGAGTTCCACAACTGAGAGGCCGTTCTCCTTTGTTAAGGGAATTTTGACTTAAAAGTTGTCTGGGAAGGAATTTAGGATTGTCCTAAGTGAGCACTGTTAATGTTAGTAACCCTTGGCAGTTTATATTTTTTACTGGCTCTTACAGTATATTACTGCATCAATACACTTCTTGCAAAATAAAATGTAAATACAATTAGTCACCGTATGAGAAGTAGCACTTAAAAGGAATTGCTCTGTGAAGTTCATGGGGGAAACCGTCTACGGATGACTGCTGCCAGTGTTAGTCATACTTCTGTTTTCTTTTCTGAAATGAACTGTGGACTCACTACAGCGACTGGACATCAACAGATACTCCATTCCTGGATTGTTCATATCTAAAACCTCTTTGGTAGTAAAAAGGCACTACATGTTTTCAGAAGCAAATTTTTCATCTTTGTGCTTTGCTGCAAAAACAACGTACATACCAGATTATTGCTCGCAGTTTTATTTTGCTTCTGTTCCATATCAGGATCTCAATCTAAGTAAGCCAGTACTCCTTGGAGAGAAGGTGCTGTTCGTATGTGATTACTGAAAGGTAGCACATATGCAAGTTCAAGGGTATTTAATTCTGTTGGATTCTTGGTTTTCGTTTGTGCTTTTTGGAACCAAGATGTTTCCTGAAGCTTTTTCTGTGTGCAGTTCAATTAAAGCTAGTGAGTGTTCTGCAGTTTGGAGGCATTACATCATTTTGAAAATTAAACTTTGTATTCTTCTAGCTCCACTTTTTTTTTTTTCTGGGTAATTAGCTATTTTAAAATTAGTGTCTGAACTGAAAATACTCAGAAGAAAGCTGAGAAGAACAAGATAAATATCTCTACCGTTTGTTTTTAATGGGTAATTTAATTCAGTATGGGGTGACCTGTGAAAAAAATGTTTTGAAGAACTACTGATGAGAAATCAGTTGTATTTGATCATGCTGGCTTTTCGGTTGTACTTTGATTGAAATCGTCTTCATTATGTCTGAATTCATTTTAACAAAATAGCCTGTAGTTGCACTGGCTGTTGAAAGGTGAGGACTGCGTTATCAGAAAGGATTTTATAAGCATGACAATAGCTGCATATAAATCAAAGGTCACTGTTTAAGTTTGAAGGCTTGTGAATCTGTTTAATTCTTGTAATCAAATGAGTGCTATCAAAGGCCAAAGTAATTTAACACGACAATTCTGGATTACATTGAACATATGTTCTTGTTAATAAATTACGTTATGGTTTTAAGGGCTTTGTATGCTGTTAGTACTCTTTTGTGTATTTGATACTTAGAGTTTTTCTTAATTTTTATTAGTGAGTTGTTACAGTGGTTAACAAGAAATACACAGATTTAAGTTGCAATAGCTTTCCCAGTGTCATATGATACAGCTTCACAGGACGTTTGGACATATGTAGATGCTTTCCTACTTTGTTTTAGTTATGACACAGAATTGATATAGGCAAGCATGAAAGCTTGGGCAAATTTTCATTGCTTTGTCTAGATGTTGCTGGCGTTCTGGTATTTATGTAAGGCACAATTTTGTTGCTTGGGAATGCATGCTGAAATTATCATGTGCACTATTTTGCTGTAGGCTGGTTGGCACTGCCACAAAGGTAATGCGCTGCCAGTAGGCCATTTCCTTGTCAACTGCATTTACAGCTTAATAGAAATATTACATGACTTCTTTAAACAAGTGTTTTGGCAGAGAGGAAATAGCAGATTCCATGCAAACAAGCATAGCTTCCTCCGCTTAACCACACTCTGGCTACTCTGAAAAATTGTGCTGGTTTCAGCTGGGAAAGAATGAGAAGCGGGGGTTGCAAAATGGAATTTGATGTGGGAAAAAAAATCACTTTCTGTTCAAGTATTTCACGTTAAACTTAATTGTCTGCATACGTATCATCAGTGTTATTTCACTTGTTTCTGTGGCATCTGAGTTAAGTATAACTTGAAGTTGTCATACATGGTTTGAGGCTCAAAGGTCAAGGCCATTGGCCAGCCCAGCACTCTCACACTTCACTCACTTAAGAATTACAAAATGCCTTGCATGTTCGATGTCAGAACTCTTTTGTGCTTTTGGTGGTGCTGTAATCACAGTGTGCTTTGCTAATGGTGAGAAGTGAAACTTCTGTGTTTTCTCTGACAAGTGTCCCACAAAGTGTAGTCTTAAGAAGTTTAGAGCAGTTTTAAAGGGAAAAAAAAATACAGACATCCTTGTGGCTAATGACAGGACAAGGGGGAATGGTCTTAAACTGAGACAGGGGAGGTTTAGGTTAGATATTAGAATGAAATTTTCCACCCAGAGGGTGGTGACACACTGGAACAGGTTGCCCAAGGAAGCTGTGGATGCCCCATCCCTGGAGGCATTCAAGGCCAGGCTGGATGTGGCTCTGGGCAGCCTGGTCTGGTGGTTGGCGGCCCTGCACATAGCAGGGGGGTTGACACTAGATGATCATTGTGGTCCTTTTCAACCCAGGTCATTCTATGATTCTATAAAAACATAGTGGTATAGCCATTGCAAGTAGTGAATTTGTTGTTAAGTATAAAAATGATTCAAAGCTAGATAATTTAACCTGTTCAGCAGGACTAAAAGTTCGTTGACTAATTGCACTAGTCAGCTTAATGAACACTGTTAATCAGGCTAACAGTGTTTGCATCTACCTTTGATTGCCCTGCTGGGATGAGCGGTTCTGAAAATTGTAGGGGAGTTAATTAAAGAGGGCTTCTGTGTGGTTCTATAGCAGGCTCCTGCTCTGGACTTTCACTGCTGGTCTTCAACAGCTGTGCTCTCGTGTCACGGAACGACTGAAGTATGTATGCTGATCTGTTCTAATGTGTATTTATATCTGAATTTAATTCAGACCATTAACTGCGTTGCTCAGTGTCTCCTTTTCATGCAGTACAAAGTTTTTTATGGTGATGGTGGTGATGCACTGGAACAGGTTGCCCAGAGAGGTGGTGGAATCCCCGTCCCTGAAGACATTCAGGGCAGGCTGGATCTAGCAATCTGATCTAGCTGTAGGTATCTCTGCTCATTGCAGGGGAGTTGGACTAGATGACCTCTAAAGAGCCCTTCCAGTGACTTCATGATATCTGTCCCTATTTTCTGTTTGTTTCTAGAGGCCTTTAATTTTTTTTTTTAATTTTATGTAGGGGAAACACAGAGATTAACAGTTTTTCTAAAGAGGCTGTCATGCTTTTTGATGGAATTTTGTAAAGGGCTTTTGAAATGTCTTGTGTTTGCCTATTAAGCCGTGCTCTCAAATCTGCTGTATAAGGGAGCTGGTTTTGGTGGAAGATCATCTAAGCTGTGACGTTTTTACTTGATCACAGTCTACCCACTGCTGATATTTGTCTGTGTTAACAAATAGATTAACAGCACTTTGCCATTAAACAAATTTTAAACATTAAGAATGGCAGCTTTTGAGATCCCTTCTCTAAGACCATCCATATCATATATATTTTCTTTATATTCACATACTGCCATGAGGCTGTGATTTTTCATTATCAGTTCAAGGCAATCAAGGTGTGGGCTGCTGCTTATAGGCACAGCCTAGCCCTTACCAAGAGCTCCTGCTGACCTTTCTGTGAGCAAACACTGGCAGTTTTGAGGCCTCAACAAGGAGTTGGGCAAAGTAAATGATCTAAAAAATGAACCTGCTGGAACTGAGCAAGAGGAGATGGAGGAGCACACAGATGGACGGGGGAAGTGTTTGGAGTGGAGCTGGTGCTTTTGGCCACAGCTCTGTGCTGACCGTGTAGACCAACAATAAAACTGCAGCCTGCATTTCATAAAATTTGCTCTTCTTTGCAAGGTCAACACTTACTGACAGGATGGAGCATTTCAGATGAATGCTGGTAGCTCACTTTAAAAAAAAAAAAAAAAACCTCTTTCATGCTTATCAGGCAGCTGCAATAATTCATGTTGCTACGGTATGGAAGAAGCGAAGAAGCTGGTGGTAGATGCGTTTTTCAACACTTCACAGTATTGGCCTTTGTTTCTTTATGATGAGGTTTGTTGGAAATGGACATGTGGGCATCACATGTTCTACAGTGAATTGGAGGAAGCCAATTTGAACTGCTTCCATTTGCTGTAAGTCCAATCATGATATTTATTTTTCCATGGCACTTACCCAGATTATCCATGCCTCCTGCTTAGCCTGTGTCATTTCCATCCTGGACTAATCTGTTTGTAATAACCTTTTATGCCTGATGTATCTTATAACAATCTACCATTTCCCCGTTTTTTATTCTCAGCATATTGCACTAAAAATGGAGATTGAAGTGAGAATTATTGCTGTGTAAAGTTGAAGATCCAAGGAAGTTGTCCTGTTCAAGGAAGTTGTCCTGTTCAGTATTGCTGTCTGATTTAGCCAAGTTTTTCATGCATTGAGGAAACGATTTCCTTTCCATCTTCTATGCCAGACGTTGAGGTTGGGGAAAAAATACACTGTTGGCATTGCCAGGTGTTTTTTCTGTGTAGTCAGTTCTAACAGAAGGAATGCTTACATGTATTTTTTTTGTCTGACACATGGAATTGTCTCATTGGTTTCTATTGTTTTCTTTCAGAGATCATCATTGGCATTACTGCCTTTAATTTAAAGCAGCCTACTTAAAGTATATTACACTAGTTTCTTATTTTAGTGCTTTCTTTTATCTTTAAAAGAGAATTTTAGAGAATATTTCCAAAAGTCGTTCCCTTTTAAGAACTTTGTATGAGGTGCTTT